CAGCTGAACCAGCTGCAGCTCAGAGTTCTCACTGTGATGACTAGCATGGCCCCGGCTGCCCAGACTCTCCCGGTGAGCCAGCCTGAGCAGCTCTGGATCCAAGCCCTTCAAGGGCAACCACTGAGCCCCCTCCCACTCCTGGTTGTGGGAAAGAAGCCGGCGGAGAACAGGCTGGGGAGGGGAACTTGGCAACCCTGGAGATCTGGATGGATGGACCCATCAACGCACTCGCTGGCTGGACCAATTAGGGGCTCGATCAGAAGAGCGTTGCCGTGCCCGCTTCCATAGCACTCCATTTCCTAATCCACCTGCCTGCAGGGCTTGTGGGAGAGATCCCCACTCAACAGCACAACTTCCGTTCAGAAAAATGAAGTGGGTTACATTGTGTGCTTGCAGATTTTAACTTCTGTGACACCAGGAAAATCCTCTATTTGATTCGAGGCCTACAAGTTGAGGGTATTCCTGGGAGTACAGAATAGCCCAGAGTAAGATGGCTACAGAATTTGGCTTCCTGAAAATCTCAAGTTTTGTGCTCCTATAAAAAGGGCTGGTATGATGCAAGAGTTACACAGCTGATGGTGTAAGACAGGAAAGGAAACCCAGCTTGGCTGGCCGCATTCCACAGCGAGTGAATGGGTGACTCACTGCAAACATACCAACCTTCTGTTTGACTCCGTGCCTCAGGGTGTAAACCAATCACCAAAAGGAGTTCTTTCCTTCTCAAGAATAGCCTTGGTACTCAGTGCACTCTTGGAAACACAACTCAGTAGGTGAAACCCTGCAATAGGTAAGGGCTGTTCCAAGAACTGAGTGCACCAAGGAGTCAATCCTCAAATGGATGGCTTCTCCTTCCTTCCTTCCTTCCTTCCTTCCTTCCTTCCTTCCTTCCTTCCTTGTCTCCTGGAAAAATAACAATTCCTTTTAAAATTCGAGAGTGCATTTGAATTACCCTGCTTGCAACACTATCAAAACCCCCTGCCATTCTTTCTTCGCTAACCAGGAATTTCAGAAACACCACATTTCTGAAAGTTCACAGCAATCTAGCTTGACAAAAGATTGATGATTTGCTTTATTTAGCTCTGACTTGCTCGTCTTTTCTTCTTGCTCTGACATCTGGACAATGAGCCCCGGTTTTATCATCAGAAGAACTTGGCAGTCCAGATTTCTTTCATTACAGTTTTATTTGGATGTGGCCATTGTACCTCTGTCCTTAATGGTTTCTCACATCCCTTCAAACAACAGTTTCTCATATTTATATGCTGCTACTAATAATTTCCTGGTCTCTGGCTGTATTCACAGGTGTTGTTGGGGAGGTCTTCAAAGCTCGTGTGCATTTTGTCTTTTATATCCTCCTTTTTGGAGGAAGGAAAAGCACAAGAAAAGAAAGCCATGGTGGAGACGATCCTGGCACCTTGGGCAATCATCCTGCTTATTGTTGCTGCGGTGCTCCTCATGAGCATCTTCATGTTTCTCCCTCCCACCCTTGTGCTGCTCTGGAGAATGACCGCTTTATCCCAGATTTCCTTGGAAGGAGCCGTGTAGCTGCCTCAATGGAGAGGACTTTGTGGACCAAGGACTGGCCCCTCTGGCTGCAGCAGAGATGGCATTTGGAAGGCGAAGGTTTTGTCCCACCAGATACCCATAAAACAATGGAACGTGATATTCAAGATGGCGGCAGTAACAGCTCTTGATGCTCAATGCCCATTCAAGTCTTCATTCCACTTGCTGCTCGGGGAAATGTGAGGTTACTAAAGGAGAGGCAAGCAAAGTGGGGAGTTGAAAAGAAGAAAAATATGGTTTCTTTTAGCTGGACATGTAGCAACCTGTCACTTGGCATATGTGCACTTGCAACCAGTATTAAGAGAAAAGCATCCACGCAAATGCAACAGGCCAATTGTTCCATATGTAACTCATGAACACTGGGATGCTAAAGCTGAATTGAGCCCTGTTCTCTCGCTCTATAAGCACACATTCGGAGTAAGACTTGAGATTTGTCAGCTGAAGGATATTCCTCAGATAACAGCCAACCTTATGTTTTGGAGGTGCCATCCAGTTCACCCTCCAAACTCAGAGGATTGGGGGCACCCAGCTGAACATGGGAGGCATGTGCAGGCCACTACTGCCTCCACAAACTAGCCCCACCTTGCAAAAGACATAGAAGGCTGGTTTTGGACACCTATGCCTTTTACAAGGGGAGGGCTGAAGCTCCACGGGAGTTCCTTGTAATCAGCTGGAGGCTCAGTTCTCTCCTTCCATCTCCTGGAACTTCCCTCCTGGCACTGGCTCTCAAGCTGAACTTCCAACTTTGGAGCCACAGCAGGTGCAGAAAGAGCTGCACTTGCTGCAGGGGCAGAAGGAAGGTGCGCCATGGTCAGCTCCCAGCTCTGACACATTTCCAGGATCTGAGCAGGAAATCCAACCAATCCTATAACCATCCGGAGAGTCTCCAGTGACCCTTGAAGCTGGTCCTTTGTTTAATGTCTGTCTGTTTCCTCTTCATGTAGGTTTACACCTTGGGAGTTCTCTATAACGTCTGATATTAGACTTGGTGTGATTGTCCACATTGCTAAATAAAAATAATGTTGGATGTTCTCACACTGTTGAACTGATTTCGGAAGAGATTGATGGCAAGCTCGTGGCTTGCAGATCAGATAAGCTGGCTTTGCCTGCCCTTTCACAGTGCTGGCTCCAGGTTGCAAAGGAAGCTTGGGCAAGACTCTCTTTGCAGCCCCCCTCCTGGAGCGGGATTTCCTTCTCGGCACCAGCTGCTCCCTGCCTTTTTTCACATCATGACTGCCACTGGTTTGCTTGCCAGGTGGAGCGCCAGCGAGCAAGGAAGCCGTGGTGGCCGCTGCTTCTCCTCCTTGCAATCCCTTTGCCTGAGCTGGAGTGAGGGGCAGAGGAACAAGCAGGTTGCATGGACGGGAAGTAGAATCAGGTCCAGAAGCCGGTGGATCCTTGCTAAGTTATGGATCTTTGCCAGGTGCCCAGCCGTGCCCGCCCTTGACTCCATCATGGGTCCCTCTTCAGGTGAATCACAGACAATGGGATCTCTCTGTCTCTCTCTCTCTCTCTCTCTCTCTCTCTCTCTCTCTCCCTGCAGCTAAACTCAAGAGCTCGTGCTTGCCCTTCCCACAGCACCTCTGCTGCTCCTGGCCATTTCCCTGCATCTTGATTTCTTCATAGGAACAAGCAGAAGAGAAGGATGGAACTAGCACACTTTCCCAGCTGCAGTGTGCTGAAGAAAGGGACCGAGATCAGTACCAGCACAGAAGCAGCTCTGCAACTTGGGCCATGCTAGGGCCAGATGGAAAGGGTCCCCAGAAACTGGTTTTGAACCCAGAACCTAATCCTCCCGTAAAATGCATTCATCTTCACATTGCTATTCAGTTGGGTTTGGAATGAAATAACAAACAAACATGTTTGGAATTACAAGTCAAACGAAATACCCTAAAGTCTCTGAGAAGGGGTTGGATCCAGACTTCAGTGTCCTTCAACTGCAATTCTCAAAGCCAGTAGGATGTGAGTCGTGATGGATGAGTTTTACCTGGAAAGATTTGGAAGCAGTGTGCACAAATCAGGAAAAATAAAATAAAATAAATAAGAGCCAATATAGACTCTATTGCATCTAGGTAGGATGAAAAGCTACATTGCACAAGAATGCCTTCCGTGAACAAAGGGTCTTCCTCAACAGCACTTAAAAATCAAAATTGTTGCCACTTGTCCAAGCCTTGAGAGGAAGATGCTCACATGTAGTGGGGCGCACCTAAATCTCATTGATTTCAATGGATCCACCACACTACGTATCACTGAGGTTGGTTCCAACCCCAGACGTGGAAGTACTGCTAAGGCTTATACTATTGTTCCTATGACTGCCCTCTTGCTACTTCTCTTATTTAACAGATGCATCCAGCCATAACGCCCTGCAAAGCTTCCAGTGCATTGACAAAGACACTCAGAGGCAATCAACTGAGTTAGCAAGAATGCTGGAGTGGAGTCATGTTGAAGGATCAGCAGGTCATTGGCTATCAGTCTGATCCTGCCTGATCTTGGAAACTAAGCAGGGTCAGCCTGGGTTGAAATCTGGATGGGCGACTTGAGTCCTGCATTCAGCAGGTGGTTGGACCTGAGGGCCTGCCAGGCCCCTTCCAACTGTGTGATTCCATGATTCTGTATCCATTACCACCTTAAGATACATTCTATTTTTTTTCAAACTCCTCCAGATATTGAAATCATCTTGTGCACTAATTTGCAAAGTGCTGGAGACTCTAGTTTGGCCATCCATTATTCCGTTGTGAGGTTGCAGTGAATCCATCCAAGAAAGAAAAGAAAAATCAGAGGTGATCACATGAGAAAGGAAGGAACAGTCATTGAGCAGAGCAAGAGTTGCTCCTCATTCTTCTCTACGTGTAGGAAAGCACAAAGACACCAAGTTAGACCCTTTCAGACCAAGACCAGTTATCTTTTGGCCCGTAAGCAGGTAGATTAAATCCCTGTACAGTTCTTAGAATAGGTAGACTCTTTTGTCAGCATTGACGTCAAAACTCTGCCGAGGGCTTACCATATGCTGTGAGCATCGCAGCCGTGAAAAGGACCTCTCTTACTGGACTGCTGCAAAGGTGTTCACGGCAAGCTAAACTTGTGCTGCAAAAGCAATACCTGATGGTGTGTTTGTCACTGTGCAAGCTGGCTGCGTTCACACAGCTCTGAACACAGTGGCATGCTGTCGGTTCATTTCCTTCACTCGTGTGCAGAGTGAACAAGGGGTTGGATCTGTGACTGTATTTGCCACGCCAGTGACTTTGCCTCCACTGGTTCCACAGTGAAAAGGAACACAATGGCATATCTGGTATCAGCTTTGCCCAATTCTAATGTAAGCATAAATCAAGCCCAAACACACAAACAGTAGATCTTTCACCTGACAAGCAGCCTGGCAAACACCCTATGTTTAATTTTGGACATGCTAGATGACTTCCAAAGGGGAACAATGACAAGACAAATCCATGATACAGAATTTATTTGAACAGAAAGCTTTGTCCAAACTGGTTGTCAGTACAATGGACCAGTTCGACAGAGTCAAGACAGTTCCATCCCAAAAGAGAGAAGGGGTGTGTGTGTCAATATTGCCTCAATTTTGGAACAGTATCAGTGGGAAAATTCTCAAGGTTTAGGTAGACTTGAACAGCAAAACTTCTCCCTAGCTTCCCCTCCGCTCGGCAGCTTGCCCACCCATCCAGCAGAAGTGGGATGCCATTCTCAGCGGCTTATAGAAGCCACCAGCTGCCCGATCACATCAAGCAAACAGCTCCTCGGCTGTAAAATTGTGGAAAGCACTTGGGGAAAGGGTGCTACTTTCCTTGGCAAGATGGAGTCGCCATCTAACACACAAAATTTGGGCATCATTTTGCCTCCTTTGCGCCTTTCTCCCTATATTTCTAGCATCTTCCTGGGAAGCGTTATCCTATTGCACTCATCATGCTTGAGCATGGAGTCCTACCTTGGGCGGGGTCTGGGCCCAGTGGCCACAGTGGCCCCTTCCAAAACAACTATTCCAGGATTCCACGGAGGTTGCTCTCAACTGCCCGAGAATCCTCTGTCTGGCAAGCGAAGGCACCTGCTTGCTGGCTGCATCTCCCCATTCGGGTTCTGCCCCTTCACGCCTTACCTGCCTCACTTTGGAAGCGTGCCCCCTTTCCTCTTACACAGCTAAGCAGACTGCTTTGAAAGCTTCTGTTCCCCTGGCAACATCTCCAGGAAAGAAAGCCGAGGGGCACATTTTAAATGGACCACTGCCACCTCGTAATTGTCCACACACCCCCATCCTTTGCCGTTTCACCAGCAAGTCCAGGCCACTGACACCTGGGTGAGATTGGGGTGAGCCGTGGAGAACAGCCTGGATGTGAGACCACACCCCCGACCACCATTTTCAAACTTCCCAGATCACTTGGGAGCCCATTTCAGCTCCCATTTTTTCGGCTTGTTCAAGTGGGAAAGAAAAATGCATGGAGTCAGAGCTGGGAGAGCACCTGCAGAACAGAGTTTTAAATAAAGGGTTTGGGGGAAATAAGGGGAAGCAGAAAATAAGCAGAAGCAGAAACATCTGAGTTTAAGACAGGCAGAGACAACTTTTGGCCATTCAGATGCTTCCACCTACAACCCCCATCATCCCTCACTGTTGGGATGCTGCCTGGGGATGCTAGGAATTGTAACCTAACAGGTCTGTAGGGCAGCCGGGGAAAGCTGCTATAATAAAAGGAGATAAAACTGGTGGTAAGGGAAGGAATCGTGAGAGGTTCCCCCTTTTTAAAAATGAGGTTAATGATATTAAATTAATTTAAGGCTGTAATTCTTCCTTCACCTGTATCTAAAAAGGGTTGCCCTGTGAGGCCTTGCAGCAACGGACTTCCCCAAAATTTCACCCCAGATAGGAAACCATATGAATTCTCTTTAAATGATCAATGTTGCCAGCTGAACTACTTCGAAAGTTTCTCAGATGTTCAGGCACCAATTAATTCCCCTCAGCTGGTAAAAACAGAATTTTCCAAAAAGTTCATTTAACTTTAATCAGCCCCCACTTTAAAAGCAAAACACCCCATATATTGTTATTAGAATAGAGCTCCCCAGTTCTTCAGCAAGTAATCCAGGCTGCATTGTTTTTAAGCTGCTGGTCCCTGGTGATTGTGAATAAGACTAAAACCCCGTTTTCCATGACTTAACTAAAACCTGCTAAACCAAGTGTGGGTTTTACTGCCATCTACTGGAAAGTTCAGTCATTGCCTCCTCATTGCTATTACAAACACAAGTCAGGAATCTAAAATTAAAAGTCAGCTCTCTCTGCCTCTTTGGTATTCAAAAGATAAAGTTCCAATATCTGTGACAAAAAGCACATGATTTCCAAGCCTATCACTACAAGTAGAAGAGCACTCTAGGAAGTTCCTTTTGACATGCAGACCACTGTTACACTGACACGGGAGAGGACAGGATTGGTGTGAAACAAACCACTGGGCTCTGTTACAAAGGCACTGCGAGGGTCTTCAGTTTCCCAGGGTGAATTACAGCACTGCGAACGAAGACGCATTCATGATGCTCCAACTGGATTCAGGCGCTGAGAGCTCTCAGCCAAGCATTATTAATAATAATTTATATAGCACCATCAAGAGTGTGTAAAGCTTTACATAGTAAAGTAAGATACTGAGAGAAGAGTCTGAAGTGCTGAATCACAAAACTGCCACTGCCTATTCCACAGTTTCTGTTCCTTTTAGATCCCATGCTGCAAAACAAAATTGTCTATATAGAGGATTATCCTTTTAAAAAGTGCATCACTGTTTGGGGGAGCGAGTGCTTGCTAGGCCTCTTTACAACTCGATCTGCATAGTCAACCCTCCCAGAAAGTTTCCCCACCCCACTCCCCACCCCTTTGGCTCCCTGGCCCAGCATCCCCAAGTAGCCTGAGCGCCCCTGCCGATCTCCCCCATTGCAGGTAAATCTCCTGCATCCAGTGCCGACCCCAAGCATTTGCTGCCAGAAGAAAGTCCAAATGGCCCCCACCCCCGGATGGGCCAGCACTTTTAAATGGCACACTTCATTGCACAGACGACGCTTGTCATCCTTCGCCCCCACCCATCACTGAATCACCCTCCACCCCAGCACGCTCACCTTTGATTCTTTTTTATTCTGGACTAGTATAGCATCGACGCTCCACCTCGTCTCTTTGTCCTCAAATCATTCTTCTTATATTTCCCCATTGCTGTTGCTCTTTCCCGTCCAGCCTCCCATTTCATCTGCCTTACCCCTGTTGGCTATCCCGCTTCTGCACCCTCTTTCCACTCCATTTCCTATCCCTTGGCCTCCCTCAGTTACCCCGCTTCTTCCCAATTTCACACAGCTCACCATCCCCAATTGACGTCTTACTTCCCTTGCGAAAGTGACACTATTACACCAGCTCCACCACTGACCACTTTCCTCTGAGCTGTTGGAATGCTTGTGAACATTCCATGTAGTCCCAATAGCTTGGCCCTTGGCGGAGGCGTGTGGCTTGCAAGCAACAGTTTGGGGTTGCTGTTGGATATTTCATTTTAAAGCCTATTATAGATAATGTAGCCCTGCCTAGATCGGGCTCCAGCAACTTTACCGATATGTAAACTTGTACATAAAAGGCACCCATCTAAAGTGTTTGTTGGAAGGCTACTAAAAAGCAGAAAGTTGGGAAAGGAAAAAGAAAGGAAAGAAAAAGAAACTGACAGGTGGAAGGAAGCTTAAAAGCCTGAAAAAACGCTTCTGATAAGGTAAGACTCAGGCACAGGTTAATTATCCTTCTCTGTACCAAGAGCCTGGGAACTGTTTCCACCACCATCTTGGGCAGAAGACTAGAACCAGGACTCTTTAACTGTCCAATTGCAGTGAGGAAGATTATTGAAAATACTGAGAATATTTTCTTCTCACACAGACATTACGAGAGGGTGGAAGAAGGGTCAGGTCATAGGCAAGCACTCCATTATTTCATTGTGGGCCCGAGTTCCAAGTTGTCTTTCTCACTGGTACCAAAAAATAGCAGCTGCCGGGACCAAGGATAGCGGTATCCAACTGGACTTTTTATCGTCTGCATGTGCGTGGGTGTGGAAGCACGAAACAGTGTTGATTTCCATGAAAGGAACTTGCTCCATTTTCTCAGCTTAGAGGAGGATGGTCAGCGGAAGCACCCTCTGCCACGGAATGCCTATTCCTTCCAGCTGGCCCCAGGATGGCTAAAAGGCCAATTTCTTGGGAACTTCCCAAGTGAATTCACTTCTTCCGAAGTGACCGTAGCAGGCAGTCTTCTGATAGATGGGCTTCTTTAAATCCAGGTCCCTTATTATTCAGCAAAGAAAAGAAGCAGGGGGAGACATAACGAGAGCAAAACATTATGACGTGATATTTTGTTTGTTTGTTTATTAAAAGCTTTTCTATCCCATCCTTTGCAAACAGGGATTGGAACGGCTTACAATAAATAAGCAGAATAAAACAAACCTCACAGCATCTGACCATTAATATACTAAAACCCCAGTTAAAATAAATTAAACATTAAAATAGAGGGAAAATAAGAAGGGTTTCACCTGACACCAAAAAGAATATAGCGTTGGCACCAGGCAAACCTCTCTGGGGAGTGTATTTCATAGTAAGGGCGCCACCACAGAGAAGGCCCTCCTCCAGGTAGCCACCATCCAGATCTCCTTCAAAGAGGGCTCCTGGAGCAGGGCCTCTGCCTCAGATCTCCAGGGGGGGCGGGGGGAGGGCACATAGGGAAGAGGGCGCTCCTTCAGGTATCCCAGACCCAAGCCATTTAGGGCTTCATAGGCCATCACCAGCACCTCAAATTGGGCCCGGACTTCAATTGGCAGCCAGTGTAACCAGTAGAGGACCGGCATTATATGTGGAAACTGGCCGGTCCCCATTAACATCCTGCTAGCTCTATTCTGCACCAACTGAAGTATCCGGACCGTCTTCAAGGGCAGCCCCACAGGGGGCCCGTTACAGTAATCCAACTGTATTGGATTGTTACGTTATTTCATTTTTCCCTGCACTGCCTGGAAGAAAATACATAAGAGCAGGTGCAAGGAACAACCTCACAAGCCTAGGCGGCCCCTGAGCGAGTCGAGTCTGTCTCACAGCAAGCAGCTGCCGCAAGCTAGTTAGGGGGAACTCTCTCGCTGCATTTACTTCCCGTGCCTCTTTTTGGAGCATGGCTAGCTTCTGTGCATGCCATAAATCATTCTCGGCTGCAGGAGCAGGGGACAGAGGGGACCACAGGGCTGCTGGCTTGCAGGGCTCCAAAATGAAAGGGGAATGTGCTATTCCTGGCCAATCCGCTGCCACCCTTGCACTTTTGCCACCCAATGGGAGCACAGGTTTCAAACAGCAGCACAGTCAGTCCGGTGCTTGGAATGGAGCCTTTCTCCCCAGCTGGCAAAATTCTGCACGGGCTGCAGCCAACCTCTGAGCACAGCCCTGGAGGCCTGCCCAACCGCCAGATATTCGGTCACAGGAGACGAGCAGCAGCGCCATTCTGCAAGAAGATTGCATACGGAATAGCACAAGCCGCAGCGACTGAAACCTGGCCTTGGAGGGAGAGCACGCAATTTGTTGCTCAGTGTTGCACAAGAGGCTAGCACTCACGAACCCCCGTGTCCTGCGTCAGTTTTCCCTACTACAATCACACTGTAAAATAGAGAAAATGGACAGCATGCCTGCCACTTGCACGCCACAGAAGCTGGATCTGACCCACCAAAGTTTAGGTAAAATTCTCCTGGGGGGATGGCTCAGCACACCCCTGCTCCAGCTGGGATGTGGCTCTGTTCGAGGAAGCTCCCTAGGCGACCAGAATCGAAAATGCCATTCTATTTTCCCAACATGTGCAATTCAGCAATAAGAGTTTGGGGCCCTTCGGCAGGAGGGTGGGGGCATCTGTGCCCATTTCACAGAAAGACCCTGGTAAAGTACTTACTTGACGATGGCTCCTGGGCGAAGGTCGAAGTTCTGGTGGACGATGTTCAGCAGCTCCTGCTCGGGTTTTGTGGAAGTACCGTAAGTGAACAGCGAGACGGAGAGCGGTTCAGCCACGCCGATGGCATAGGCAACCTAAGAGTGAAGAGGCAGCAGAGTTAGTCTGGTTTACCCACGTGCCGCATGCGTCACTGCGCAGCTGCATCTTGCTTCCGCGAAGGGCATCAAACCAACCATCTGTGATGGAAGCAAATTGTTTACTTGTTATCACAGTTTCCTCCCAGTCAAGGAACTCAAGGAAGCTTCCATAATCCTCCTCCTCCTCTCAGTCTTATCTGTGAGGGAGACTAGGCTGAGAGCCAGTGACTGGTCCAAAAACACCCAGTGAGCTTTGTGGCCAAGTGGGACTAAGGCCTGCCTCTCCCAGATTGCAGTCTGACACTCTAACCACTACAAAGAGGGGATGGAAGGGAGGGGCCTGCTGCCAGGATGTCCTACTTGTGGTGGGCTTCCCACAAGGTCCTGGTTGTCCACTGTGTGTCCAGAACACGGAAGCAGAGAGGTCTCTGGTCTGATTTGGCACATCTCTCACATACTGGGGTGTCTTAGTTTCAAAAACAAAATGGGGTGGAAGGATGAAGAGGACTGAACTCTACAAATCCAGCACTGGCCTTTCTTCCAGAGTTATGGTACGGATTGCTGAGACAATATAGACCCAGTGCTTTGAAGCACCTTCCAGCATAAAGCTGAATCTCTTAGGCTGGACCCAGTCATTGTTCCAGGTGCTGAGAACCCAGTGGGGCTGTGAGGGACTAGAACCCAGATTTCTGGATCCCTGGTCCAAGACTCTAACTAGGGTTGGGATGAACCCCTTCAAATCCATCCTGCCAGAGTCTGTAAATTTCCCCTCAGGCTTGGCCTGGCCCCGCAAAGTGAGCTGAGTCAAGAACACACACGGACTGCTCAAGGCACACCGGGCAACTTTCCCCATCGTGAGCAGCAGCCGGATGCGAAAGAGGGCAGTTGCAAGCGGGTGCATCCGACACACTTCCTGGCAACAAGCCGTCTTCCCCACTTGCTCCTGCTGGCAGGAGTGGCAGGCATGGAAGATGTGCTGCTTGTGAATTGCAAGGGTCTTGATTCCTGGTGTTTAGCTGCAAAGTTGTGCTCGACCCATCACGACCCCATGGGCAACATTCCTCCAGGCTCTCCTGTCCTCTGCCACCTCTTGGAGTCCCCCCAGCCCCAGACCCACTGCCCCAGTGACTCCATCCAGCCACTTCATCTTCTGCTGTCCCCTTCTCCCTTCGCCATCAATTGTTCCCAGCGTCAGGGTCTTCTCCAGCGAGTCTGATTCCTGGTGAGTGCTCCACAAACACAGGCCGCACTCACCGGGAACTCAGATGCTGGGCTGCTGCAAAGCAGATGGGAGTCCAGAAGCCAAAGTGAGGAAATCCAGTGTATTTTCCGCACAAAACAGAATCCTCACGCACCTCTAATTCTGACCACTGCACCACACTGGCTGGAGTTCCACTTGACTGCTGCAAGATTATGCAAAGCTGGAGATGCAACGTGGAACTTACTTGGACCAGGATACGGCGGCAGAGTCCCGCTTTCACCAAGGATTTTGCAACCCAGCGGGCCGCGTACGCTGCCGACCGATCCACTTTCGTGTAGTCTTTGCCGGAAAAAGCTCCGCCTCCGTGAGCTCCCCATCCGCCGTAAGTGTCCACGATGATCTTCCGGCCAGTCACTCCAGCGTCGCCCTGCAAAATTGATTTGGATCTGTATCACCTCCAAAGAAATCCAAGGGCTGCAGCACCAACAACAGGGACTCCCCTGAAGATCATGGTGGCCTAGGAAGTGCGTATAGGGCAGGCGTTCCTTGAGTTGCCAAATGGAAGCTGCTGATCAAAAGGCCTGTGAAGAAATGCTCTGGAATGCTGGAACAGTTTTCCTGTCTTTCACCCCTTTGGCACTCAGCTCACGTTAGGACCTGTGTGTGAAGAATCAGCTTCCAGGATGCAATCCAGCAATGCACCGGCATCCTTAAAGAATGGTGTACGGAGGACAATGCTGATCCTTTGGCCACCACAAGGGGACTTTATCAGCCCTGACGGGGGCCAAGAGACGCCTTCTCAGGGGATAGAAAGATGAGTCGTCACCCTCAATCACACAAGGCACCGAGGAGCTCACAACACTGGCGTTCTATGAGAGAATTGTACTATCAACGGCAACTTGGTCTCAACACACATTCCAACTTTTGGGCAACCTACTTCGAGCTATATTAGTGATCTGGAACAGGAAGCTTGAATATTTGTGTGCTGTGTGTGAGCACTGTTGTTGTTGTTAGTCGCGAAGTAGTGTCTGACCCATTGCAACCCCATGGACAACATTCCTCCAGGCCTTCCTGTCCTCCACCATCCCCCGGAGTCCATTTAAGCTCACGCCGACTGCTTCAGTGACTCCATCCAGCCACCTCAACCTCTGCCGTCCCCTTCTTCTTTTGCCATCTATTGTTCCCAGCATTAGGCTCTTCTCCAAGGAGTCCTTCCTTCTCATTAGGTGGCCAAAGTATTTGAGCTTCATCTTCAGGATCTGGCCTTCTAAAGAGCAGTCAGGGTTGATCTCCTCTAGGACTGACCGGTTTGATCACCTTGCGGTCCAAGGGACTCGCAGGAGTCTCCTCCAGCACCACAATTCAAAGGCCTCAGTTCTTTGGCACTCAGCCTTCCTTATGGTCCAGCTTTCACAGCCATACATTGCAACTGGAAAACCATAGCCTTGGCTATACACACTTTTGTTGGCAGGGTGATGTCTCTGCTTTTTAGTATGCTGTCTAGAGTGTGAGCATATATGTATACATATATGTTATTAGTAACAATTTCAAGACCAGCAAAATGTATTGTTAATCATTACTGTGTATTTATATGGGTGTGTGTGCATGCATTTGTTTTATTTTGTTTATGTTGTTTTGTTTCCCCCTTTATAAGTGTTTGTAGTTCTATTCTAGTCTTCTATTCTCAGCAGTTTTTGCTGATGTTTGGCTTTGCTGAATGGTTGTAAAAATCATGTAAAATAATTTTAAAATCATATAAAAATAGAAATATGAAAAATAATGAGAATCACGGCTTAGCAGTGTCAATTCACAAGCCTAAGCAAACATACCTACAAATAATTCCCACTGAAGCCAACAGATTTGGTTCCAATGGGACTTAATTGTGGGTTTAGGACGGAGTTATCAGCCAGTTCATTCTTTTTCAAAAAATATCATACACTTTTTTCTTAGCAGAAGGCTCCCAATAATAAAACACTACAGTCAATCAATCGTTCACTGAATATGAAAACCAAAATACAAAAAAAAATACCCCTCAAAAAGATAAAATGAAGTTGCAAAATGATACCGCAGCTGCGATGAAACAGCCACCAGAAATGTTAGACAGGAGAAGACTAGCATGTCGAATAACCTCAACGTGGACCTCTGAGCAGTGAGAAATCCTCAGCCAGGCCTTCTGGAGCGATCGTGTGTCATGGGGAGACTCAAAGAGGAAAAGTCTCTTTGAGAGATCACTAGAACACTGGATTTCAGTCTGCACTGGCAGAATGGGGGCTGGAACGCCCCCCCCCCCCCCGCCAGGTGCATCAGGAATTCCTCATGGGGGTGGTTACCAATGGTGGAAGATTCACCAGTACCAGTTATCCTCTAACATTTGCACAAAGTTGTACATTTCCAGCTCACAAAGAGAAACACTGAGGAAAGTCCAGTTTAGCCAGCTCTGTGCATGCATCCCAGAACAGTTCCCGGAATGTTTTGCAACACAGAGAGACTGCGTGCCAAGTATGCAAGGTTTCCTTGAAATCAACCCTTAAATGCCAGGGCTGCTGAAGGCGATTCTTACTTGTTTACACTCTAGTAAGCACCTTCGAATGTGTACTTCCCAAGGGAAGTATGTCCCTCAGTTTGAGTTTCAGAGCGGAAAAGTGTGCCTCGGCTACATTTTTAAACATCGGAGCTACTGGACTGTCACAGGAGGTACCCATAAATCTGTGGCTCAGGAAAGTAGAAGGTGAATCCCGACAGACTTTGGGCAAGACTTTGCTAGTGAAACACACACCTGCGGCCCACCGATGACAAACCGGCCGCTGGGCTGCAGGTGATAAACCGTATTGTCATCCAGGTACTTGACTGGAACCACAGGCCTGATAACGTGCTCGTGCAGGGCTTTGCGCATGGCGTCCAGAGAGATTGTTTCGTCGTGCTGCACGGAGATGACGATGGTGTGGACGCGCACTGGGATAACAGCGCCGTCTTTCTGAATGTACTGAACTGTGATCTGGAAGCAAACAAAGAGTGAATGAATAAAAGGACCGTGGCAGAAAGGGGGCGACAGATAAATCCACTGCCCTGTAGCACCCTTCCAGCACTTGCAAATAATTTTGGACTCCTGAAAATTGTACACCCGTTTTTTGGGCTTCCATCCTCATGGGAGGCTAACGCTGAAGCCTTTGACTCAGCCCTGGGTTCAACAGCTATTCTGCATAAACTGGGTACCAGCACTTTGTACAAGCTTAGGAAGAGCAATTTCCCCCATCCTACAACTGCTGGAGCCCCCACCCTGATGCATCATTCATATCCTTCAAGAACATTCCCGGATGCTCCAGAAAGGCTTGGGAGAGGGGCACATGGTCCCTCCAACGAGGAGAAAGGAGTCCTTCCACTGATGGATCTTGGGCTTCCAGTCATTGTCAATTGCCAAGAGGTTTTATAGTATCCTAGCTGTGTCAGAGAATTAGTTCCCAAGAGGAGCATCTGCAGCATCTGTGGGTAACTTGTGGCCTGGCGGACGTTGCTGGACTACAATTCCCATCACCCTCACTTTGGGCCATGCTGGCTGGGAATGCTAGGAACACAGCTCCCTAATAGAGGGGCACTGCTGAATGTTCATGAAACCTTTAGCCAGTCAGCTGAACAATCAACCCTACAGTGTGTGGAAATGAGTTTCCCCTAACCCGCCTCATGGCAGCCAAGTATTGCCCCCCAGGTATTGAGAAGAAAATGGGGACCAACCCCTGAATTCACCTGGGTTTTGGAGTCAGGCCTAAGCCAAGGGAGGATCCGGCTCCGCCGCAGCTCTGCCATTTTGGCATTCAGTTTGTGCGCAAGCATGATGGTTAGGGGCATGCATTCTTCCGTCTCGTCCGTTGCGTAGCCAAACATCAGGCCCTGACAGGGGAAAGATGTCCAGTTATCCTTTTTCGGCAGCTGGGATGCCTCTCCCTCACCCAAAACTCCTCTGCCAACATTGTTTCACCCTTTCGGACGACACGACACCTCACCCCAGACATTCAAGACCAGCTTCCCATCACCTCCTTCTCAAAGCTCTTAAAAGATGCCTTGCCCCATCCAGTGCTTTGGTACACATCCTGCCCCCAACCCCTAGCATCCTCCACCCACCCACCGTATTGTCCCCTTAAACCACTGGCGAGACGATCACCTGGTCCCCGGCTCCAACTTCCTCTTCACTCCTGTGCAGATGGACACCCTGGGCAATATCGGGCGACTGTTGTTCCAATGCGACAAGAACATTGCAGGTCTTGTAGTCGAAGCCTGTGGGGCAGAATCCCAAAAGGACGGGTCGCTTTATCTTCTCTCTGTCTCGTACTATGAACCTGCCTGTGCGTTAAGATCTGCATGAGAAGCCCTTAGGAGAGAACCTTAACTTGCTGAGTGCGCTTGCAGGGAGGGCTGCCTGTTGCACAGCTGGGGGGCCACAAGCACTCAGACTCTCAGCTCGCTTTTCAGGTTTAGGCCAACCATGAGAGGAAGTGCCTGGGTTCTGGAGGGACCGATTCCAAACAGGTTCACCCCAACCCTAGTGTGCCTGTTTAGGAAAACAAGCCTCTGGGAGAAGAAGGGTAAGCCACTTCTTCTCTTGTGCAGCGACCCCGCTGCATGATGACTTGTCAGAGAAAGGGAGTGCTTAATGGGTGAGGTGTAACGTTTGCCCCTCGCTGTCCAAACCACACGGTGTTGCATGCAGCCCTGTCTTCCCCCCAATATTAGCAGCAGCTCTACTTATAAGCGGTACCTGATACCTACTTCTAGCCCCAGCAACACTAAATTGAAAAGGCCAAGTCTGGCGTGAATAGCAGGGATAGCTCTATAAGAAATCCAGGGCTCTGACCCCGAGATAACCTCTGGCTGTCCTATAAATACCCTTTTGCAAGCCTTATGAAAGGAACTGGCATTGCTCTCCTGCAAATGTTTGACCATTCCTAAGGCCGAATTGCGTCAGGCTTTTCCTCTTCCTCCTCCTCCTCCTCGAAGCAGAGCAAACCAAGACGGACTCGTTCTACAGCTCTGCGTTGACCAGAGAGCCAGGCCTGGGCCGGGCTGGATCTTCCCACCAACCTTTCGCTGAGTCATCATAGCCGATGTTCTGAATGGTGTCTCGGACCACCTGCTGGTAATCCACCACGGCGCTGGACGTGATCTCCCCGCAGAGCAGCACCATCCCTGTCTTGCACACCGTCTCTACAGAGTGAAGGAAGACAGGTGAGGGGGCCCTCCTGGGCTGGCTGGAGAAGTCCCAGACAAGAAGAGCAGCCCAGGTAGCTAGGGACTTTGGACTCCTGAGTCCTCCAAGCTTGTTTCATTCCTTGGAATATTCCACTGCCCTTTCACACAACAAATAAAGGCAATTCCTCCGCTGGCTGTATAGTTGCTGCATTATCATCTCCAGCTTCTTCAGAGGAGATCTGGGCAGCGGACGTGGTTCCTGGCCCACTGTGGATTACTGATTATTATTACATTTACTTCCCACATTTTTTCCTCTGGCGTGGAACCTAACCTGGCTTGCACGGTCCTTCTTCTCCCCTCCATTTTATTCTCAAGACATTCCTCAGGCCAACGAGTCCCCTGGTGAGCTTCATGTCCAACTGGGGACTGGAACTGGATCTCCTGGATCCCAGTCCAATCCTCCAACCACCACACCACACTAGATCTCTTTTACCATCTCTCATTCATGCACACAACAAGCCTCTGTGGTAGCTTCAGGTAAGACATAATGTCAGGCCTAGGGGTGAGTTTCAAGGCTGAGCAGACGGTTGCAGCCACATCTTCACACTCTGGAGTCCAGTGTCTTTTTTATTAAGCCACAGCAATGCTCATATACATCTTATATTCCATACCATACAAGCATTCATATATATCTGCCCTCCTTCAGGTGGAAACCATTCAGGGGACACTCCTCCCACAAGCGAAGACAAAAGGTCTCAAGGGGGACCTGCAAAGAAATCATGGGGTGCAAAGAGAGGTGGGTCTCCTTCTCTTTGCCCTGGCTCTCTCCTGTTCCTTGATCCCCATTATTTCTTTGTGGATCCCCACATATATATGCCTAAATGCCAGTTTCATGGCTACATTTTGTTTCACTCAGGTGTGACCAACAGATGGAGCCCAGGTGAGGGTTTAAAGGGCTCCCACTGGATTCTGTGGAACAAAGGTTAGGGAGAAGTCACCTGGGATGCAGCTCGAGTGGAACACAGCTTTCCCCCTACTTCTGCCAGGTTTCCCTGCAAGATATGGGCCGTCTACTTCCCCCATGAACTCGTGCAATACCAGGCATGTCGCTAGTAAAAGGAGAAGAGCATCAGTCTCTTACCACAAGCAACCTTGGCATTTGGGTCTTGCTCCAGGTGCGCATCAAGTACAGCATCGCTGATCTGATCACATATCTTGTCTGAAAAAGACCAGAGTTGCGCGTTTGAAGGGAAACTCACCACCATCATAAAAACACGGGGCAAGTTTGTGGCTCTGAGCTGTGAAGGAGAAAGGTTTAAGGCAGGGTGTACCACCCCTGCCCCCTTATGTGAACCTGGGGCCAAGTTCCCCGCCACCTGGACTTCCTACTGTTCCCGCAGAGATCTTCATACAAACTGCTCCTTCCCTGAAACTGTTAATGAAGATAAACTGATGTGTATCGAGATCAGTGTGCTGTGTGCTCTGTGTGTGTGTGTGTGTGTGTGTGTGTGTAGGGGAGAGAGAGAGTCAGAGAGAGAATATGCATTCGTGTATATGTGTGTGCACAAGTGTGTTGGTCCGCATGTACACCCCAATCACATGTGATTCTTGGGGCCAGAAAGGTTGTGCATAGCTGATTTAATAATTTAAATTTAGGGCACATTTATCTCCCCTCATACGAAGAAGCTAATGGATCAAAGACAAGAGAAACCCATCCTTGGGCTGCATTTGCCCACACAAAAGGTATGCGCACATAAATGGGAGCCGTGTGGCTAAAGGGGTGGGCTCTAAAGCCAATAAACAGTCAAACAAAAAAGCACAGGCCAAGTGAGATAAGAATATATTCACCTCGCTAGCAAAACAGGGCCCTAACATAGCCATTCAAATGGCTTTTCTCCCCAAATTGCTCTGAGGACCGGTTCAGGCTCTTGCGGAACCAGCGATTTCCATTTCTGTTTATACAGATCATCCTGCTCTGCAAAACTCTCACACTGCGCAAGCCCCCCAGGTCTGCTCTTAGCAATCATCCCAGACAACCTCCATTGAAGCATTCAGCAGGTCAGAAAAAGCCCCATTAGCAATAATGCCAGGTGGGGTTTGTGCAGCCCTAAGCATCGATCTGTACAGGTGTGTGTCCTAATACCAGTGTGACCCGCACTCCAATGCTCGGAGAGGGGAGATATGCTGCAGATACTGCAGATTCAGCCACCAGTGCGCATGGCTCCCTGCAATGTATCTATGCATGTCTGGACATACATGCTTGCTCCTCATGTTTCGGCTCCAAGTCAAAGGGGAGTGGGTGCAGAGAGATGTTATCCAGAGCTGAACAATCCCAGGTTCCTGGAATACTGCCTTTGCATGGAAGGGTGTGAGCAAATGTTACGATTCTCAGCAGGGGTGCATACACACATGCATGTGTCCCAGCGATGAAGGCCACCCAGACTGACTTTTCAGCGCTGGGAAATGCAGGCAGAGCACACCTCTTGGTCCTTATTTGGCTGCGAAGCTCTCAGCTTGGCCTGCCTCTCACACAGGTGCTGTCAGCATGAAAGGGAGCAAAGACGGGCTACAGGACGTACAGGGACAAGCATCAAATCAAGCAAAAGGAAGTAAGACCGGGTTGCTCCAGCAAGAGACCTCGTTGCAAGCCCAGGAAACATTCCTGCAGCTGGAACATGTACTCCAAGCTCCCCTGAGTGACTTGGTTCAGCCTACAACCCTCGTCTTATTTCTTCCAGCTGCTATAGAAGTGCCGGTTCCTAGCTACTCAGGAAATCGATACTGATAAGCTGCCATAAACCAGTTAATGCTCGCTGCATGAGACTCACGCTGGTGTGAGCAAGCAAGCACCACATCCCAGCGATATGCATCATGCCCGGAGCACCTGCTGTGGGAGGTCCAGCTGTTATTTCACATCTGCCTTGAGCATATACACACAGCACAATCCGGTTCTCATTTTGCTCCCAGGCATCCTATTGTGTGATGTGGCCTATATTTCCCCTGGGATTAGTTCAGGGTTAAGGCTTGGAGGAGCAGAGGCAGAAGGGGAGGACAATCCAAAAAGAGGCAGGATACGGAGAGTGTTGGGGTGGAGGCAATTGTGGGGAGGAGGGAATATTCCTGCACAGATCAAATATTATTAAGGTTCCCGCTGAATCTCAAGCACTAGGCTTTACTAGGATTGGCATCCTGCAGTCCTCCTAATTCAAGCCAGTCCTGAATTAAGAAGCCAAGCCTTCGGATGGCATTCTGGAAGGCCTTTGGCTTGAGCGCTATTCCATTGCTGGAGGGGGACAGAGAGCTCACTACTGTGTCACTGCTGTTTATTTCTTTTATTGTGTTTCTGTTGGAGCTTTCGATTCACTTGTGATGGTTGTTTTAATTGCAATTTTGTTTTAATCTCGTGCTAATAGCTGCCAGGAGGGCCATTTTTGGTGGAAAGGCAGACTAGAAATCCAATAACTAAAGTGCCGTGTTCGTAGATCTGCTGGAATTTTTAAAAACTCGGTTTGCATTTCACTTTGAACTTGTAAGCATCACACATTAAGTTTTATTGAGTGTTCTGGGCTTTTAATTTTTGTGAACTGCCCAGAGAGAACTTTGGCTACAGGGCAGTATAGAAATGTAGCATGTTACTATTACACTGATGAATGTTAATATGAGATAAAGCCAGCCCCATAAGCCTCAGGAAAAGAGACTGTCAGCAAAAGTTAGTCCTCTGTCCCATTTTCCTCAACCCCTGGAAACCAGATGAGAAAAGTCCCCACTGCCTGGCGCACTGCAAAGCCAGGCAAAAACAGTTTTCTCTGAGGGCTGCTTATTATGGCTATTGATTTTTGCAAGCCTCTGCCCCGGACTCCTTTCCCACTCCACAAATAAAGCAAGCCTCGCCCAGCAACAGCTGAGGGGATCTTTGCATTCCTGAGAGTGCAGCCCTATCCCGAATTAATTGCATGGGGAACGAGCCCCATGGAACGCAAGGGGTCGCACGCTGGAGCACGCGTCAAGCGGTGGCACAAGTACAGTGCCAGCCACGCACGGAGCAAGAACCGTCTGCTCAGACTGAGTTACTAACTGCAGCTCGTAGATGGCGTTACATGAGACGCTGGGCTGATATAACACCCCGGCTGGTGACTTTTTAGAGGTCTGGCCCGGCAGTCAGAAACAGGCAGGCCTTGTTGCATCAGGTCCCATCCACTTGGATCACTGGGCCTATGTGCATCGCAACACCACTTTCACTTGGGTGCACGTGATCCTTGCTTCAGCACGGACCCTGCCTTTAAAACCCTTGCCTCACTCCCATACACAAGGACAGGCAGCAAACTCCACAGAAGTCTACTTGGAAACGAGTCCCACTGGGCTGAGTGGGTCTTACTTCCAGGATGGGGGAAAGACATAATCTCGGGGCTCTCCTCTTGCATCCTGTTCACCTCGGCCAATGAGGTCAGCAGGTGTGCCTGCATCTTTGAGCATACAAACTCCCGACAAGAAACATTGCATAGTTGGTAGTAATGAATGGGATGTGACCAGCACGGGGATGCCTTCGCTGATCATCTTGACGGCTGATGTGCAGCTTGAGGAAGCCATGGTTCTTGATGGGTTCAGCTTCTGCGGGGTACTGGGGAGGCACCACCAGGCCCCCAGGCACCTCTGCATGGTTCAGGTTTTGGAGGGCCCTTGGACAAGACATCCTCTATGGCCCCCTCCTTCAGCCAGTCCACTTTCTCACAACCATGGTTCCCAGCTGCTCTTGCTCCTCCTCCTCCTCACCATGGTTCCCACTTGCTTGGAGAAGTGGAGGCAACTTGAAAGGCTTGTCATTGGTCCCACCAACTGTCCCTTCCCTCTGGACCTGATCCACACAGATGCCCAAAGGAAGAGCACAAGGGAAGTAATGGACGTAGGTCTACCTCCACTCTTATCTTTGCTTGAACAGCCAAGAAAGAAGATGAAAGGACAGGATGAAGATGGCAGCAGATGAAGGGAGCTCCATCACAGTAGTAGGCCCTCAACCACAGAAGTGGTCAACCAGAAGCTCTCCAGATGTTTTGGCCTACAATGCTGAACAGCCCCATGGATGAAGGATGATAGGCACTGTAAGCAAAAATTTCTGGAAGGCCACGTGTTGTCCCTCCTAGTCCCTTTGAGATGTGGGCCTCAGCAGATGTCCAGGAATGCCTAGTGCTGGAGCCAGCTCTGCTCTAACAGGTGGATCTGGCTCATATTTATTCATCGATTTATTAGAACTGAATACTGCCAAACAGCCGAAGCTCTTGGGGCAGTTCACAACAATGTAAAACTATCTAAAACATAAATACCATGTAAAGCACAGTATAAAGATGTACCGTATTTTTCGCTCGATAAGACGCACGTTTTTCCCCCTCAAAAGTAAGGGGAAATGTCTGTGCGTCTTATAGAGCAAATGTGTGTGTGCCCAACGCCTGGGATGCTGCCGGCCATCTGCACCACGTGGCACCACCTGGCTGGCACGCGCTCGGCGTGCCCTGCTCCACCCCCACCCCGGAGCAGGTGAGAGCTGTGCTGCTCAGGGGGAGAGGTGCGGAGGAGGAAGAGCCACGGGCTTTAACTCACCGGCCGCACAGAGAGACGGACTGCTCACCCCCACTGCCCGGGAAGACCTGCTGCCGCCGCTGCCACCGCACTGCCTGGAAGACCACTGCCGGCACGCTGCTGGTCCGGCTGCACCACATCTGGCCAGCACGCACTCGGCGCGCCCTGCTCTGCCCCCTCCTCTGGTGCAGGTGAGAGCTGTTAATCACAGGTCGGTGTGTGTTTTCAAATGGCAATCCGTCTTTTAATGAAGCCCATGGGGAAGTGATGGGGGATGTGCCTGCGATTATCAGGAAGCTTTCCATGGATCAGTTATGTGTTAGTTGATCAGACACATTTTTTTTAGGATCAGTGGATATTTGAACAGCATTACCTTCGTGTATGAAGTTTATTCTTCAAAGGCTACTTAGTCCGCTGTGTGTTTGATTTACCGTACAATATCTCATTTTTTGTTAGAAGTTTTTTTCTATTATTTACTAGTAGGGCAGCGTGGACATTACTGGCTTTTTTAGATTTGTTATTGAATTGTCTGCAGCAGCTCTTGTATAACTGGTGTAGATTGTGGATTCCTTCAATAATTCCACTACTGACTAAGAAAGTGATGTCAGTGATTGTGAGCAACAGAGCTTCATAAATTCTGACTCTAGT